AAGATTTTAGCATCTTAACATCGCTCATTGTTAAATACAGCACAGACCTGCATAGATTAGGAATCTCCTTTCAGTCCACCATGCAGCAGAGCTCCAAGTAAATAGTAGTATACCCCCAAAAGAAAAAAATTTCTGTCTATAATCTTAACTTTCTCCAATGTCTATACATGACTGCATGTTTATCAGAACCATATGAGTACCTCCAGGGAGTGTTGAAGGTTCTATAACAAAATACTTAATATTGAGTCTTAGGTTACTAAACAATATTTTGCTGACTATTTTAGTGACCTCACTGAACTCATCTTGGTAGCTGAAGTTGTCTGTACGGTTCTATCCCAAAGCCATCCAGACCCTATTTCTAGATTACTCATTTGTTAACCTTCAGAATGCTGTGTCCCCAAGTGTCTTAGTCCATTCGGGCTGGTAAAACAAGATGCCACATACTGGGTGCCTTATAAACAATAGAGATTTATATTCCAATGTTCTGGAAGCCAAGAAGTCCAAGATCAAGACTCCCGCATATTCAATGTCAGAAAGGGCCTCCTTCCTCAGAAATATGTTCCTCTTGCTGTGTCTTCATATGATTGAGGCAGAAGGGGACTCTCTGGGATCTCTTTTAGAAAGGCACTAAGTCCATTCGTGAAGGTTCTGTGCTCTGGACCTAATCAGCTCCCAAAAGCCTCCACCTCCAGATGCCATCACATTGGGTTGAGGGTTTAGCATGTAAATTTGAGAGAGGACACACACATTCAGTCTATAGCACCAAGTTTTACAAGGGCTTGTTTCTTCCATGCTGATAAATATCCTTGATATGAGGCACAGCACATTTCTAGGCTATAATTGCACAAGTGGGTAAGGATGTACTGTGGACGAAAAAAGAAGGAAGAGGAGGAGGAGGAGGAGGAGGAGGAGGAGGAGGAGGAAGTGGATACCTGGAGCTCAGGCAGTCAGACCCTTTTGAGATCTCTGCAACCTAAGTCCACCAGACCAGACTATTTCGTTCCCTTTGCTTCAACATATGTTGCAATCATTTGCCATAAAAGCACTCTCAAATGCATCCATAGGAGGGCCTTCAAGGGGATTTTGTTTGTTTCCCTTCTTCTTGGGACAGGATGGCACTGTAACATTCAATTGACTCTGAATGATTCCACTTGTGAGGGTTTGTCTGAGTACATAAATACTCATATGGTGTATATTATATGCAAGGTATTAAAATATATAAGAAAACAAGAGTTAATATTAGATGTTGTTCACAGGAGAATCATGAAGTATCAATGTTCTTTACTAGGGTATAAGTATAGATAAGATTGCAAGAAATAATAAGCTTTCTTATGCTTAAAGAATAGAGCATAAAGAATTTATAGATAATACTCACCCCAGAAAAATCACCCTGAACAAAATGGCAAGGGATTGGTGTCCCTTTTTGATGACTTGCTCACAATTCTTTGATATCAAGTAAAATCAGTCCCTAAATTAGATTGGAACAAATATTTGTGTTTGGGGTCTATAATGCACTGCCAACCCGTAGCACTTCTTTACTGTCATTACTTAAAGATGTTACCAGTGCCACTGTTTTTTTTTCCTATAGATAAGCTTTGATACAAGAAACAGGATAACAAGATTCAACTCAATTTTGTCTTTCAAAGCACTCTGGCTTGACATTTCCTGACTGAATGCCACCAACATCTCAACCAAGTGCTTCTGGGGGCTGGAACTCAGGAGTGTTGACAGAAAGCATGATTCCTTTTGATAATTCCACTGATAATTCTCATCTGGGTGACTCAGTACCCATGGAGTATGTCTAATTCAAAACAAAGGAAACCACACACAGAGACATCAAGCTATTTAGAACCTGATCTGTCACCACAGGCCTGACTGAAAGCAAGAGATGTGCTTACTCTATTTTTAATAAGAAGGCCCTTCAACAGCTGTTCCCGTACAAATTAACCAGTTGTTACACAGCCATTCAGAGTTACTGACAGCATAGGCTTCCCCTAGAATTGCTGGCATTTCCCCTTAACCCATCAGCAAAAAGTAAATAAATAAATAGTTGCTGGAAGATAATGAATTAGAACTGGTAAGTTTATCTTCAGCTTGTTCCCTAGGAAAAACACCAATGGTATTTGTTCAAAATATTTATAATTAAGTTCTTAAAATATTCTCCCGTCCTCTCCCCAGCTCCTCTTCATACTAATAGATCAATCTCAAAATACTTATGATCTCTGAGCTTAGTGCTATCTAGACATCCCACCCACCCAAGATATCTCTCTCTTTCTCTCTCTCTCTCTCTCTCTCTCTCTCTCTCTCTCTCTCTCTCACACACACACACACACACACACACAAACACACACACACACACACACACAAATTATGCCTTTGGTCAGCTGTCAGATGATATGACAAAAAGCTTAGCAGACATCTGCTCATGGATTAATGGGTATGGTATTTCTTTCACTATCAAAGATAAATTGCTAAACAGCTGTTTTGAAAACCACAGCACACTTCTCAACACTGATGATGCATAGATGAGATGACCTGTTTTCTAAACGGAAGCATGAATAATCTTCCTACTTCAGGAAACCATCTTTTCCCTTGCAAGAAAAGATTTAAAGCCATGACATGGATCACTATGTAGATTTCAAATCCTAAAGTATCTAAGCTTCCTTTCTGACCACGTGTGGGTACTGAAAAATGACATATTATTTGAGGATTGTGCTAGAATTCTGAGCTTACAAAAAGAAAGGGTATAATAGAGAGAATGTATTGCTGTATCCATACAACTTCTCTAAATAGTACACAAAGCATGTTTTTCAAACTCAGACTCTCTCAGGTTTCTAAGGAAGTGGCCCTGAATTGGTGCTTACTTCAATTACTTTGTATAAATGGGCATAATAAAGAACATCACATGTTTATCTGAGGAGTAAATGAGATAAAACAGCCAAATGTCTAATGCATAGTTGGCACTACTAAAAAGCAAGCTCCCTAACATTCTTCTCCTTTTGAAGTTACCATTTAAGTGGATGCTAATTAACATCAAACATTTGAATATACTTATTAGACTGACTCTCTTGGCTGCACTGCTAAGTTTTATCAGAAATTTGAAAAGATCATCAGAATGTGGCATTTAAAAATGTGTTTAAAATAAATGAGAGATTTTTTAAAGCAGATATTACATAGAATAGTCATTATAATTTTTCACAGTAACCTAATCAGTTATTTAAAAGTGAGTGACTTAACCGGGCATGGTGGCTCACACCTGTAATCCCAGTAGCTCTGGAGTCTGAGGCAAGAAGATGGTGAGTTCAAAGCCAGCCGCAGCAAAACCAAGATGCCAAGCAACTCTCAGTGAGACCCTGTCTCCAATTAAAATATAACATAGGGCTAGGGGTGTGGCTTAGGAGTTGAGTGCCCCTGAGTTAAATCCCTAGCACCTAAAAAATGTGAGTGACTTACAGACAGAAGCCAGAAGTAGAAAAGGAACAGTGAAGAAACATCCAACTACTGACTACCAGTCAGTATCTATTTTGATAGTTCCTCCTGAGAGACCTAGTCTGTGAAAGGCTGCTAGAGCGAGGGGTGATGGAGATATACCCAGACTAGAAATCTGGCCTATGGAGCCTGGCATCCTGCCCTCATATAATTGTGACATTGAAAAAGTAATATGACCAGGATATCAATATTCTCCTTGGTTAAATGAAGAAAATCAATTAAATCATCAAGATCTTTCCAATTCTAAACTATCTGTGTAATCTTTATGGAAAATATATTCCCAGAAAAATACCAGCAGACTCAAAAAAAAAAAAAAAAAAAGAAATTCCTAACTAGGTCTGAGACTAGAAACCTGTGTTAGAATTAGTGATCAGAAGCCAGACCACAAGCTCTGCTTCCCACAGACAATATATGGTGCACAATAAAGGGTATAAAGAAACAATGTCTTTTTTTTTTTTTTTTTTTTAAAGAGAGAGTGAGAGAGAGAGGGGGACAGAGAGAGAGAGAGAGAATTCTAACATTTATTTATTTTTTCTTAGTTCTTGGCGGACACAACATCTTTGTTGGTATGTGGTGCTGCTGAGGATCGAACCTGGGCCGCACGCATGCTAGGCGAGCGCGCTACCGCTTGAGCCACATCCCCAGCCCCGAAACAATGTCTTAAAAGAGATGAAGACTAAGGTAAAATAGAACAACTCAGTAGAACCCAGTAGACCATAAGAACCCAGAACAAAATAAGTTACAAATTTTCACCCAGCAAATTAGCAACCTTGCAAAAATTTGTCTTCATATCATGTTCATGGAAATGTAAATTGATAAAATTTGAAGGATGATAAATTTGACAATTGATAGCCAAAAGTCTAAAATATTACATATTTGTTAGCCCAGCAATATTATTTATAAGTATTTATTCTAATAAAATAATTATATTCAAATATTTAGCTATGAGTTTATGAATTATGATGTTTCTGGTATCAAATAATTATTTAAAAACTAAATATTCAACAATAAATATTTATACATTATTTACTAGTAGATATTTTGATATTATTTATCTAATAAATAAATTGTGGCACTTTTTACTGTGACTACTTAAAAATGGCCTAACAGAAAATTAATGATGTATAAAGATGTTTACAACATATAGTTAAGGGAAAAAATGTTACAAAACAACATGATCCCATTTTTGCAAGGAAGACTATATGTTTACCTATGTGCATGTGCCCCTGGATCATAGGATTGTTCTTACATGTGTCTGTGTGTTTGTATATGCATGTGTGTGCCTAGACAAATTATATCAGGTTAACACTATAAAATCTTCAATTGTATAAGTAAAAAAATAATAAAATACTATTAATTTCCTAGTATTCAAATTAATAAATGAATATTCATGATTCAAATTAGTAAATGAATACATATATGTTGAAATAGTATTTGAAAAAATTCACAAAAATATTGACTATGGCCATATCTTAGTGATTTTTGTGATACTTCTATTTTTAAAACATTTTACAATAAAGATGTATTTCTTTTAATATCAGAAAAAAACTTGTAGTGGTAACATGTTTAATTTACATACAAGTCAAATAAACCTAAAATATGTAATTTCTTCATTATTCTGACTTTTAAATCCCTACCCTGTGGTTAAAAGAAATTATGTATACTTAGGAAAATATATATGCATATATATACAATTAACCAAATGTTTTAATGTAATCTGTTCAAGAGATTTCAGCACTCATATTAGGAAATAATCAATCATCAAGATAAATATGTAAAATGCTTGGTTTTCCAGAATAGCCTATCTTCCCATGTTTTCTCCCCAAGATATTTTTTGAAGGAAAATTAGCACCCTCACAATGGTGGAGGAAAAAATAAAGCTCTTGGGCACAATGTCCTTTACCTCTTCTGGTCTCCAAGGCTATGTCCCTTGTCTCCTGAGTGTCTCCTGGCCTTCAAGGCTGAAACCTGAGAATGGTGTAACTGGTAATCTCTCTTGGTTTGGTCAGGATTATCACTTCCTGCTGACTCAGCCTCACGTTAGCTTCCACAGGCTGCAGACTCCTGAATGTCTGCCATGGCCTTTCTCCATCCCTGACCCAGAAGTACATGGGATCTGCTGTGCTGACACCTCACCTTCCCATCAGGTACACTCCTGTGGATCTCTCCCTTCTCAACTCTGAATCCCCATCATGTAAAGATCCAGGGCATCCTGGAAAGCCAAGCCCCTGAGCCCCTTCCCCTCAGGGCATCACCATCCCACCCCACTCATGACCAGGATCCAGATTGCTCTTGAAGTTAATTTGTCTTAAAGCACACACCTCCAGGGATACTTTGTTCTTCATTCTTTCTCTCCTTTTTTATATGTCTACCATTCTCCAGGACCAGAAAGTAACCAGACTTCTCTTTTACTTCTGCTATGCCCTAACCTCCTCCTTCCCACTCCAGCCAGGTATGAAGGGTATCCAATTGGCATCAAGATGCTTGACCTTAGCTAAAAGCTCAAGAAGTGATTCTTCTTGGCATTAGAGAAAAAAAATCTCTGAAAAGAGCCTTTGTGCTCTGTGATTAATTTGACAAAGGGATATAGGAATCCTTATTTAAGACAATCATTTACATCATTCTTTTTCAAATCACCAAATATTAATAATAAACATTACCTTGTTCTATACCTTGGAATTTCTCCTATAACAATTATATTTGGATGAATGATGAGGGTAGAAGAGACAAAGGTTTTTTATTCAATAAAGCCAAACAACAATCCCCCATGCCAAGAAAAACCTACTTTGAAACCTTATTTCCATTATAAAGTTATTTAAGAAAAATAACCAACCTAAATACATACCTAGCTAAAACAGGGAGAGATCAAGAGAGGAAAAAAAAAAAAGGTTTTGAACTGAAGCTTGTAGGATGCTAAACTTTACAAAGGGAATGAACAGAAAGTAATGAAAAATTTAGAAAAAATTCAAAAGATAAGAATTAAAAATGCCTTCTGTGTTTTTATTTGTAATATTTGACATTTCTCTAAGTATCAAGTTGCTTTAGAGAGAGGCAATTATGATGCAAACAAGTTTCCTGCCAGAGACATAAACCTTACAGGAGACCAAGATAAATAACCAAGATACCAAGTGTCTATAGTTCATTTCTACACCATTTTATTCCAGAAAGAATTTCAAGTAACTGACAGAGCTAATTCTCACTGAATAGTAAATGATCCAAAATTTTGGGGGGCGTGGGGGAGAAATGTTGGACATGATACAGCTTTGTAAAGAAAATAAACCTAAGTGTAGAAGAAAGCAACAATTTAATCCGATTTAACCGTGGTGAGAGGTGTATGGATCTAAGGCAACGGGAGGCTTTCAGAAGATGATTCTGGTTGCAGCCAAGAAGCCAGCAGTGACGCTGGCTTGGGCAGCGTTGGGAGCTGACGGTCAGCGGAATACATGTGAGAGGTGTTACAAAAGTAAAATGTGTAAGTCTTAGTCCCTGGTTTGCTTCAGAGATTGAAAGAAGTCATGGTGTTAATGGTGACTATGGAGCTTCAAGGCCAAGAGCAGAAATAATAAGAACAATAACAAAAAATGCCCACTGTCATTCATGCTTATAACGCAGAACAAGAGTAATTTATTTCCACGTTTTCTATGATCACAATATAAACAAATCTAAAGATAATGAAGGAAATTTTTCAATTCAAAAATTTGTGATGGCCAGATAAGGTATTGCATTCCTGTAATCCCAATAGCTCAGGAGCCTGAGGTAGGAGGATCTCAAGTTCAAAGCCAGCCTCAACAACAGCGAGGTGCTAAGAAATTCAGCGAGACTCTGTCTCCAAATAAAATACAAAAGAGGGGTGGGGATGTAGCTCTGTGGATGAGTGCCCTGAGTTCAAACCCTTGTACAAAAAAAATAAAATAAAATTTATGATGACTTGGTACATTTAACAGCAGTAAGAATTACAATGTGTATGTTTTTAGGAAACGCTATGGTTGAGAAAATGAAAGTTATCATTTCTCATCTTCAAAAACAGAGAAAAATCAAAAAGTAAAATTCTAACTTAAAATATTTGGATTTGCACATGTTATCTCAATTGACTTTCAGCACTTTGTACATTGATTAATTTTTGGATAGTTATCTAAGAACATTTATTTTTTGCTACAAGTGGTAGCTGAGTTGAATTCTGATACCAGTTGAGCTCTTTATGAAGTCTATGGTCTTAATAGAAGTAATATAAAGCCACAGATGGACTTTTATTCAAAGTGGTACAAGTTTAGAATATTTGGAAAATCGACATTTGATTGACAATTATCAGATATAATGGACTTGGTTTATACTATTATTCAGATGTGGCAAGGAAATCATAGCTTCCTTATTTTCTGTAACCCACCCAGTATGCTTTGTATTTTGTTGTTGTTGTTGTTGAGATAAAATTCAGAAAAGATCCCTTTAAAGTGCACAATTGAGTGCTTTTTTGTGGGTTCACAAAGTTGCACAACCATCACCATCACCCTTATCTAATCCCAGACATTTTTTATCAGTCCCCCAAAACACCCCCAAGTTCAATAGCAGCTACCCCTTACATACCATTCAACCGGCCCCTGCCAAGTACCAATCTTCTTTCTGTGTCTATGGATTTGCCTACTTTAGAGATTTCATACAAATAGAATCATACTCTATGAAACCCACAAAATTGCCCCTCTGAACTCTCACTCAGTTAAGTGGCACTAGAAGTTTACTAGCTCAAATTTAGTGATCATTATTACTTTTCCAGCTTAAGATGATTTAATTTTGGTAAACACTCTTTAAAGTATTAACTAACAGATTGCTTCTTCCCTCCTTTCTTCCTTTCCAAGTTGATCTGGGGGGAGAAGACCCTAAGAAGTTCTCCTGCCAATGGTGGGAAGATGGATATCTTCTCTGTTGGTCAATACAGGGTAGAGAGCTGACAGCTCTGGTCTTAGGATCAGTGCATCTCAGGTACAACTGGACTCTTGGCAGGATGATGTCTTCCCCTTCTCCTGACACTTGAGCCTAACACTGCTTCCAGCCATCAAGATCGCTGCCCAGGGCTATCTCCTCTTGCCAGTTCCAGGTTTTGCCAGCTCATGATCCTCTCAGTACCTCTGAGTCTACTCTGAGGGTAGGTCTGGGCCTTTTGTTTCCTTGTGGAATGCCCTGCTTCTCTAACATGTGGCACATAGGATGTGTTCAATGATATCTTGAGAATGAGTAAGTGAATCCTCAAATTTGAACTAAAATACGTCCTCTGTGTATCCTTTGCCAATGCACCCCGCATCCCAGCTTCCTCTGTGAGCCCATCTGAAAATAATCTTGTTGCTTGTTATGGTTTGGATATAAGGTGTCACTCACACACATACACACACCACACACACACACACACACACACACACACACACACACACACACCGCCAATTCCTGTATGAATTCAGGAATATTTAGAAGGGAAATGTTAGGATTATGAGAGCCATTACCTAATCAGTCCATCCTAGTTTGAATGGACAGACTGGGTGACAACTGAAGGCAGGTGGGGTGTGGCTGGAGGCGATGAGTTACTAGGGGACTACCCTGGAAGGGTGCATCTTCCTTTTCCCCTCTGCTCTCTGTCTGCTTCCTGCCCTGCCATGAGCTGAGCTGCCTTCCTCCACTGGCCCTTCCTCCATGATGTGTTGCCCCAACTTGGGCCCAGAGCAATGGAGTCAGTTGTCTATGGACTGGGACGTCTAAAATTATGACCCACAAATAAACTTTTCCTCTCCTAAGTTGTTCTCATTGGTGTTTTTTTTTCCCACAGTGATACAAAAATCTAACTAAAACAGTGCTAAATAGAACATCTGTTGGCTGGCATTACAGCTCAGCTCATGGCTCCTATATTAGGAATCCCAGCTCTCTTCACACAAGGGCAGAGCTTAAGGCTGCCTCCAGATCCTGGCCCCACAAATTATACGCTCAATAAATATTAGAAATAATGAAGACTTGGTACTCCTATTTTAATTAGATTTCTATTTTAAAATAATACTGTGCATATTTTATAAAACAGTCAAATGGCATGAGTAAGTATAAAATAAAAAGTAAATCTGCACTCAGCCCCAGTTTTAAGGAGTCTTCATGTTCATGGAACTTGATATCATCCCCAATATTCTGCTCTCTCTGTGTGTTTCTGAATAAGTATGTGGGGCATCATTTCATCACCTGTGTGGGTAAAAGAGAATATTTACACTAGACATTTCTAAGGGAAGAAGCGCATGAAGGGATTTCATATTTGCAAATTCAACTGTCAGATTTGAAAAAGCAAGTATGAATTCCTTACTGACCAAGAGTATGAATTCCATCTTGAACACAATGGCAAACCCTGCTTAATCAGCCTTCTATTGATATATATCTATCTCAGCTCTCAACAGGACTGAAATCTGTCCAAAGAGAACTTGAATATATCTATGCTAATTGCTGGCTTATCCCAAGCCTACCATGATGGCCTATGGACAGTTTCTGACATACTTTGGAACCCAGGATAAGTAACCAATCCAGGCAATCTGGATTACAAAAGGAAATTTGGAGCAGTAATTCTGAATTGGTAAGTTCAATTTTTGTACTGTATGCTCTGTTGGGGAAAAAAAAGAAAACCATTATATCTTTAGTGCTCTTTTCACATCAGATTTTTCTTGTCTCCTCTAATGTCTTTCCAGGATTCTACCCATAAAGACATTTCTTAAGAAGGCTTAGAGGAAAGAAAGAGAAGCAAGTATGGAATTCTCCCTTTCTAAATTGGTGAATATCTTTTCAAGGCCAGCAATCTCCCTGGAACTGGAAGTACTGTTGATTTAAAAAAAAAAAAAGGAGAACAAAATGTCAGGCTTGAGAACTACTGGGATATGAATAGAAGCAGCCTAGTGTGGTGCTTATGAGCTATGGTTCTGAAGCAAACCACCTGGATTCAGGCCACAACTCCATGGTTTACTGTGTATACCAGACAAGTTATTTATGCCCTCTATTTCCTTGTAAGTCAGAATAACAGTACCTGCTTGCTAGTGCTGCACGGCATATTGAATACATTGATATTCATGTAAAGAGCTCTTAGAAGAGTGCTTGGGTCGCAGCTGGCTGTGTGCTCATCACCCACCGTCCTCATCCCTGGCCATTACCCATTACTATTCTGGCTTTGGGCTGTTGTCACCGACTGAAGATGATATGCTCAGTCCACTTCCACTAAGCTCCTTCGTAATAAGCATCATTTCATAGCACTCTGTTTTATCCCAGGTAACTATTTCTTTTATTCTGAAATAATGAAATAAAGAACCTAATTACTCATCGTCTTAGTGCACTTTGTGCTACTCTAACATGATACCTGAAACAGAATGATTTATAAAGAACAGAGGGTTCTTTACTACAGTTCTGAAGGATGGGAGGTCCAAGATTAAGGGTTGCATATGGCTAGGGCTGTGTCACCTCATGGTGGAAGGGCAAGAAAGAAGAAAGAGAAAGATAGAGAGAAGAAGCCAATGCACTTCTGCAATAATAGCATTAATTTCTCCATGAGGCCAGAGCCCTCCCTCCAGACCTAATTACCTCTTCAAGATCCCACTTCTCAATACTGCTGCAGTCAGGTGTGGTGGCCCATTATCTATAATCCTACCAACTGGAAAGCCTGAGGCAGGAGAATCCCAAGTTTGAGGCCAGCTTCAGTAATGGTTTTAGTCATCTTTGGAGTCACTGTGACCAAAAGACCTGAAGAGAACAACTTAGAGGAGGGAAAGTTTATTTTGACTCATGGTTTCTGAGGCTCACTCCATGGTGGGCTGACTCCACAGCTCAGGTTCAAGGTAAGGGAGAACATCATGGCAAAATTGTGTGACAAATGGAAGAGATCAAGATAAGGCAAAGAAGCCAAGAGTGAGCCTGGCTCACCAGTGACAAAATATAAACCCTAAAGTCACACTCCCTGTAACCTACTTCCTCCAGTCCACCTGGAGTAATAACCTGCCTGCAGTTACTGCCCAGTTAATCTATCCGTGTATTAATCCACCAATTCAGTTACACTTCTTATAATCTAATCATTTCACCTCTGAAAATTCTTGTGTTTTCTCACCCATACGTTTTGGGGAGATACCTCATATCCAAATCATAACAGCAACTTACCAAGACTGTCTCCAAATAAAATAAATAAGGCTAGGTATGTAGCTCAGTGGTGGAGAACTCCTGGGTTCAATTCCCAGGACCACAAAAGCAAAACAAAGAAACAAACCAACGCTGTTGCATTAGGGCATCAAGTTCTAACACATGAATTTTAGAGGACATATTCAAACCATAGCATCCACTTATATACTAATGTTAAGCCAAAAGACACCATTGTCTTCTCTTTTCTCTGCCTCATTCTTTTTCTAAATTCAAGCCCAGTCACTGCCATCCTAAGGCAACTAAAAAAATGGAATAAGTCCTCCCAAATAAAGGGGTAAGAAAGATGAACACAGATAAACCTGCTCCTGGCTTCCATTGATTGTGACATCACAGCCAGCCTCTGGCCCAAAGGTTGAACAAACTTGTTTTGAAAAGGGACACAAATCACACTGAATTTTGGCTCCCATTAAGCAAAAGCTTCTTTGAGATAAAAAAAAAAAAAATGACTATGCTACTTTGCAGTTCTATCAAGTTATAAAATCCTAGCTAATTTTGTCATTGAAAGCATGAGGCCAACACCTTTTTAAATTATTTCAAGCAATCTGTGGACCCACAATGCCAGCCAACACTCTCAAAGGCCTCATTGTGAGTTCGGTGCTTGGAGGCTGCAAATTGCTGGCCTCCTTCCATCTTCTTCCTACAAACACAACACCATATTTGTCTTTCGGCTGCCACTATTTGTTAGAAGCCTATAAACAGAGAGGATTCTTTCTTAGCAACCACTGTGAAAAAGCAGATCTACTCCCTGAGATGAGGGAGGAAAGGGAAATGAACCGTATGAAGTTACTTGTAAAAGTCAAAAGTGACAATCTGGTATGCAAATTTTCAATACTACTGGCTGCCTTTTGGCTTGGGGGTGGGAATGGGGGTGGGGGGCGCTCTACAAAGCTTGCAGAAGCCAGCGGCCAACACATAAGAAGGTGACTAGAAATGATCTCACCGCCATTTGTAGGAGTCTGGTCACATGGGCATCTGCAAGATAACCAAGAGTGATCCAGTTATGTTATTCAATTTTATTTCCTTGGAGAAGGGGCAAGCCTTCATCTATTTTTAGTTCTTGACATCAAACACCAAGGGAAGTGTCATCAAGGTAGTTCCAAGGTTGTATGTCCATCTGAACAGGTAAAAAAAAAAGTGAATCCACCAAAAAGCAGCTGGAGATCAAAGCATGAGAGGAGAGGAGGGATGTTAGGAAGATAAGCCCTTGGTTGGCAGCTGCAGAACAACTTCTAAGGGATGTCACATTTTAGATAAAGAATTCCAGAAAAGCCATCATATTTGTAAAGGAAGCATGAACCTGACCTCAACAAAGAACACTGAAGAGCATCTGTGGGAGTGCGCAGGGCCATTTAATCTTTCAGGAAGTTTAAATGTTTCTGGAGTTAAGTCAGTTCCCTCTTGCCAGCCTGAGAACAGCCAGTTGGGAAAACAGGACTTGTTGGCATGGCAACAGCAGGCATCTTGGTAACAAAACTCACTACAGGGTTTTACTGGAGAAAGAACGGGGAGAATCTTCAAGAGGGAAAAACAGCTTTGGTGCAATTCTGTCAGGCCAAATAGTATTAAATCTAAAGGAGGATAACTAAAATATGCTAAGCTTTAGTGGTTGAATGGAAGGAATTAAACTTTGCAAGCCCTGATCTTTTCTCCTTCAAGGACTGCCCGTCTACAACCGTTAAGGTTGCTAATACTCAATGAAGTAGAAGCCACACAATTTTTTTTCACCCTATTTTTCCACTGTGCCTTGGAGACATAGAACAATTAAGAGATTAACAGAACTGAACTCTCATGAGTATTTTTCCCAAAGTGGAAAATGTGAAAATATCCATGAGCAAAAAGTAGATATCAATGCCAACTCTCATTCATCTTATTCAGACCTTCACAGAGCAGTTATCACTGCTGCATTATAGATAAGGAATGGAGGCCCTGAAAGTTGAGGTAAGAAAGCATCAGGGCCAGCCAGGTTTCTGATCCCACACCAGGGCTGCTTCTCCCCTTCACCAGCCTTCACCCCACACATGCTGGGATTTAGGTAAAGATGCCTGGATGGGCTTAACAATGCAGGTGCCACTGGTCATTCCTCTGATGCAGGTACCCCCTTAACATACCAAAAATGCCATTGCAAAAGTATGCAGGGGTTTTAGCTAGTAGGTTAGTATTCCATGAATGTAACCAATACTTGAGAGAAGCAACTTAGAAAAGGTTAACTGGGGCTCATGGTTTCAGAGGTTCCAGTCTATGATCAATGGGCCCAATTGCTTTTGGTCACATGGCACGGCAACACATCATGGCTGAAGCACTTGGTAGAGCAAAATCAGTCACCTCATGGCCAGGATGCAAAAGTAAGAACAGGACTGAGGTCCTATAGTCCTCAAGGGAACATCCCCAGTGATCAAATGACCTCCCACTGCATCCCACCTCTTGAAGTTTCCACCATCTTTATTTAGTTTGGATGTGAGATATTCCCCCAAAGTTCCTTTGTTAATGCAAGAATATTCACAGGTGAAATTATTGGGTTATGAGAGCTTTAGCCTAATTAGTCCATCTTATTTTGCATGGACTAACTGGGTGGTGTCTGTGAGCAGGTGGGGCACAGCTAGAGGAGGTGAGTCTCTGGAAGGCATACCCTAGAGGAGTTCATCTTCCATGCAGTCCCGTCTGTCCTCTTCTCCTCTTCTCCTTCTTCTCCTCCCCTCCCCCTGCTGCTGCTCTTCCTCCTCCTCCTCCTCCTCCTTCTCCTCCTCCTCCTCCTCTTCTTCTTCTTCTTCTCCTTTTCTTTATTCTCCTTCTTCTATTCTCCTTAACCTTCTCTCCCTCTCCCTCTCCTCCTCCCTCTCCCTCTCTCTCTGTTTCCTGGACACCCAGAGAGGAGAAGAGCTCCTCAGCCATGTCCTTCCACCATGAAGTTCTGACTCACCTTGAGCCCAAAGCAATGGAGTCAGCTGACCATAGACTCAGCCTCTGAAACTGAATCAAAATAAACTTTTCCTCCTCTAAATTGTCCCGGTGATGTATTTTGGTCCCAGTGATGAAAAGCTGACTAACACAACCTCCCAATACTGCCAAGCTGGGGACCAAGACTTTACCACATGGGCCTTTGGGGGACATTCCACATCCAAACTCCAGCAGCGAGTGTCTTCTATTTTTACTGTAACAATGAGAAACTTTGAATTATATCATCGTTGTTGTTTTTTTTTTTAATTTTAGAAAGCTTTTTTCCTTGAACATAAATCTTTTCCTTCTGTTTTGTTTTCCTATCTTGCTCTTTTCTCTTTCCACTTTTATACATTCACCTTTTATTGGGGCCCCAGACATTCTTTAAGCACCACCTTGCACTGAACTCAGCACTACCCAGTGTATTCGTGGATACAGATGATTTCCAGATGGCATGTCACTGACAATCCCACCAATATCTTCCTACTCACCCTGCACCTCCCCTACCTTACTCCACTTCAGCAGCTTTGTATGTTGATGATGTCATAATAAAGTCAATAATGAGCAGCAACAGGAAATAGAACTACTCACAGTTGCTGTTTCTTCTCATGACCTTTTGTCTCCTAGAAAACCCCAATTAACATGGCCAGAGTAAAGGCAGAACTTGAAGAAAAAAAAAAAAAAAAGGAAAGCATCCTAGAGTTTAGCAATGGTGATGTGGCCCTGCGGTGGCCCAGCTTAGCTGCCAGCCTT